AAAAAATTTATAAAAATAAATTTTAAAAATGTTTTAATTCAAAAATCAAATAAAAAATAAATAATATAATTTCACAAACCAATAAAAAAATTTATAAAAATAAATTTAAAAAATTTTAATTCAAAAATCGAAAGTAAAAAAAAATAAAAAAATTTTTTAATGGAAAATGAAAAACTTACCAAGCATGGAAAAAAAGTGATCGTCGAAACGCATTTTTTTGGTAGTGAAAAAAAATTCCAAAAATTAATTTTTTTTATTGATAATTTTTTTGTTTTTAATCCATTGACACGAGGAAATCCTTTTTTTTTATTGATTTTTGTTCACTCGCGTAAAAATTGTTTTTGCACAAAATTAAATTTCGATTTCATTGAAAAAAAAATTTTTTTTTTTTAAATTAAAAAATACAGGGAGTTATATGATGCGCGTGCAACTGTCTGCTCACTGTACCGACACTAAACTAAATGTCTTGAGCAGTTTCGGTTTTGAAAGGCCGCAAAACTAAGAGATTGAGTGTGTGTGAGAGAGAGAGGGAGAAACGGCTTAAACGATAATCTAATCTTGACGGCTTTAACTGCAAAGTTTACATTATGTTAAATATGTGTAGGTAGTTTACTTAATGATGAATTTTCAGAAGCATTTATTGTTTAACTGTCCTAAAAAAAAGAGAGTGAGATTTGTGTTATTTTCTTTGTAATAGTAAAAAAATAAGGGGAGGGTCACTGTTCTTGATGACACTTTGGGTAAATTTGAACACAATTCAAATCAGTGAATTTCGTATACTGATAAACGATATTTTTTTATTCTCATTATTTGATAAAAAAGAAACAAACTATTTTCAATTTCTTCTGTCTTAAGAGTGATAAATCTCAATACTTCAGCTCTTTAGAAAAAAAGATTAGAAATAAATAATGAAACGATTAATTTTTTATAAAATGTAATAAAAGGAAAAAAATTTTTGTCCTTTTTTTTATATAAAGAAGAAAAAAATTAATTTTTTTTTAAATTACTAAAATTTATTATTCTTTAAATAATTTATAATAATAATAATAATTAATTAATTAATAGTAGTTAGGTAATTATTTATTTATTTAAAAATTTAATTTTCTAATCAGAGTTTTGCAAAAATTTGTTAACAATGTAAAATTTATAATATTGATTATTAATTAAGAAGCCTAATTTTTCTTTGGACGATAAAAAATAATTATCTTATCCGGGTCAAAATCGATTTTATCTTTATCAATTTAATATATAATGACAGTTTAATTAATCAACTAACAAATTTTTGAGAAAAAAGTAAATGTGAAAAAAGTCATTTTCCTCAATTTATTTTTAAATTTATTTTAATTAATTAATTAATAAATATATATTAACTAATTAATTAATTTATACCTATTAATTAATTAATAATTAACGCGCATTAATTAGTGTATATTAATTAATTATTAAATATTAATTTTTTTTACATGTTTTGATTTTTTATTTTCAACATTTACAATAAATTTGGATAAACAAGAATTTTAAATAACTTATTAAGCAAATAATTTATTATTTATTGTTATCAGTAATATCGAAAAATTGATTTACTTTATCAAAATTTAAAAATCTCGATCATTATCAATTATTACATATGGTCAATTCTTTTTAAATCAATGTTTTTCTATAATATATATTATTGCAATGAGAATATTTCTAACATGTAATCAAGATTAGAAATTTATTTTGATTAAATCTTCTCTTTTTTTTTGGTGATATAATATCACGGATGCTTGAGCACCATGTAATCAATTTTTTAAAGGTTTTAATATAAAATCTCTTTTTAATTTTATCATTTCAAGCCCTAGAGGTGAAAAAAATTATTTTATTCCCTAGTGTCGAAAAAATCTATTTTACTCCCTAGTATCGAAAAATATTACTTTACTCCCTAGTGTCGAAAAAAATTATTTTACTTCCTACTATCGAAAAATAGTATTTTACTACCTAGTATCGAAAATAATTTTTCTATACTAGGGAGTAAAATAATATTTTCCGATACAAGGAATTAAAGTAATTTTTTTCGATACAAGGGAGTAAAATAATATTTTTCGATACTAGGGAGTAAAATAATTTTTTTCGATACTAGGAAAATATTTTTTTCTCTCTAGTGTTTAAAAAAAGGGATCATTTTACTCAATAGAATTAGATCAAAATTATATAAAGAGAAAAAATTTTTTATTTAATACTATTGGTAGATTTTTTTTTTTTTTATAAATATACGAAAAAAAAAATTTTTCTTTTTTTGTGATCATGTTTTTCCTCGTGATCGATGCGTAAACAAACTATGTGGGGTATTACAAAAGATCAATGCGAAATCTCGGCAGACGATTAATTGAGAGACCAATTAACAATGATCAATTGTCCGTGAAGTAACAATTATTGCAAAAGAAAAACAATTCTAATCGCTCAGACCAAACATTGCCCTAAAAATAGTAAATAATTTTTTTAATTCAATTAAATCTTCATTACATAATTTATTTTTATAAAAAATTTATAATTATATATATATATATTTACTTATTAAGTTAAAGTAGAATTTTTTTTTTATTTATTTTATTTTTCTTATTTATTTATTTATTTTTTGTGTATAAAATTTTTAGTTTTATAAAAATAAATTTATACTAAATTATAAAATATTAAAATATGAAAGTTAAAGTTTAAAAAAAAAAACTTAAATTTAATGCATGTAAACATGAAACTTAATCATAAAACTTGAGCATAAGATTTATAAAATTCAAAAATGCAGATAACCTCTAATTAAATTAAAGAAATGATAGTGATGTATTTTAAAACAGAAATTTATAGATTTTATATCAATGAAGATAAATTTATGATATAAGCTGTGCTTAATATAATCAAGAGTTGTGGGACAACTCACGGAAATTTTTTTTCGAATAAAAAGTCTCTAAATTTTTTTCAATTAATTCGATTGAATAAAACTCTAATTTTTTTTTTGCTATTATTTTGTTATTATTTATTATTATTTATTTATTTATTTTATTATTTTTTTATATTATTATTATTATCATTATTTAAATAATCAAAAATTTTAACACAATAAACTATTTTTTATTATATTACAATATTGTAACAAAAATAATTTACTTCATTAATTTAAATTATGATCGTGTGTTGAAAATATTTTAGTATATATTTTGTATTTTCATAAAAATTTTTCTAAATCGAAAAAAGTGGGTATTTTTGAATTTTTTTTAAATATTGCTCAAAATTATCAATTTTATCGAAAAAGAAAATCTTTTATCGCTCGATATATAAATATAGTGTCAGTGTTAAACTGACACCAAGAAATACGTATAGATTAAGTCATCCAGGAATTCTGTAAAATATGAGAAAAATATCTTGCTTCTAAATTAAATATTTATTATAATGTTAGTAATATAATAATTAATATTTATTAATAATTTCTGTTTCTTCATTTTTTTTGTAATGTGAAAAATTTAATAAATGTGATTTTTTTTCCTTTCCTTATTGGAATTTTTTTTTAATTAAAGAAATTTTATTAAAAAAGAAGGGGTTCGAGACGGAATACGGTGGGGGAGGGGGCAGGGGTGAGAGGGAGTTAACCGTGAAAATGGAAATCTTCGCGAAACTGGTGAACGGCCGCATATCCTATCCGGGATGCTGAATGCTTTGAAGGGTTATCACTTGACCCCCCTTCACTCACTAATCATAATTACAACTTGTGGCATTATAATATATATATACACACATTGAAAACAACCTTCGATGAGACATGCAAACGAAACGTAATAATATATTGTCCCAAATATAGTGCTGAAATAATTTATTAAGTTACAACAAGGCCTTAAAAAATTGACGAAGTCACAAAAAATAAAATTCCGGCCTGGGGTACAGATAATGTTTATTATGTTTTTGGTGTCGTTGAAACCAAATTCGTTGTCCATTTTCCCCCATAATGTCAGGATTTTGATATAGCCTCAAAAAAAACCTTCATAGGAACATAAAAAGCTGAAAAACAACGTTCCTGTAGAGGTTTTTTTGAGGTTATGTCAAAATTCTGACGTTATGGGGTAAAATAGACACCGGATTCGGTTTCAGCGACCTCAAAAACGTATAATAAATATCGTCCCAACGTTGAATTATTTTTCAGTTTTCTATTTTCTGTGTGTTTGTAAAATTTTTTGAGGTTATGTCAAAATATTGACGTGGTGGGGTAAAATAGACACCGGATTCGGTTTCAGCGACCTCAAAAACGTATAATAAACATTGTCCTAGGGTTGAATTATTTTTCAGTTTTCTATTTTCTGTGTTTTTGTAAAATTTTTTGAGGTTATGTCAAAATATTGACGTGATGGGGTAAAATAGACACCGGATTCGGTTTCAGCGACATCAAAAACGTATAATAAATATCGTCCCAACGTTGAATTATTTTTCAATTTTCTATTTTCTGTGTTTTTGTAAAATTTTTTGAGGTTATGTCAAAATATTGACGTGATGGGGTAAAATAAACACCAGATTCGGTTTCAGCGACCTCAAAAATATATAATAAACATTGTCCTAGGGTTGAATTATTTGTCAGTTTTCTATTTTTTGCATTCTTGTAAAATTTTTTGAGGTTATTTCAAAATTCTGATGTGATGGGGTAAAATAAACACCGGATCCGGTTTCAACGACCTCTAAATCGTATAATAAGTTTGGTTTGAATCCCAGGGTTGAATTATTTTTCTTTTTTTTTTGTATTCCTGTAAAGGTTTTTTTTGAGGTTATGTTAGCAGAAAAATTTAGTTTCTTTGATTTAATTAATAAATTAAAAAAAAATATAATAGCAATAAAATAATATAAAATGACAATTAAAACATTAATAATATTTTTTATTATAATTTGTTAATATGCGATACAATTATTATAACAATTAATAAAATAACATTTAAGAAATAACACGTGTTTATTATATAAAATATATATAAAATATAATTGTTAAATATATAGACCCAGAGAAATAATATATTTATTTTAGAGCAAAATAAATAGTTATTTCTTTTTTAAAAAAGAACCTTTATTTGATTCAAATAAAAATTTTTATTAGATTTAAATAAAAATTTTATTTTCGCCCAATAAATTAGTTGAAATAAATAAAATTATTTATATCTTCCATTGTTTCGGTGATATAATTTTTAAAATAGAGTCAAATCAATTATTTTTATTTTCACCCATCATTTTACGACTGTGTACTTGATGTTTCGTTGATTGTGCAGATTTATTTAAAATTTTCTCAATACTCATTAGAGATTCCAAATTATTTGGAATTTCTGATTTGGAATTTTCTATATCAGAATAATTATTTTCAACTTTGTCAATTATTTTTTCCGTAGTGAATGCATCGCGACAATTTACCAATGATGATTCCAAACAATTTTCTATATTCTTCAAAAAATCAAGGTCCATTTTTTTCACATCGTTAAGAGTATTTTTAGCAATAATTTGATAGCGATCATTTATTAACTGATCCTGATTAATTGCTTGGTACTGATTAGTTATTTGATTCTGATTTTTTAGCCTGTTCTGATTAGTTACCTGCTTCTGGTTATTTATCTGGTTCTGATTAATTACCTGCTTCTGATTATTTATCTGGTTCTGATTACCTTTCTGATCTTGATTTTTGACATTAGCGCCAACTACATTTTTATCATTTTCCATAGTATTTTCATTGACCTCACGACGACGTCGATAAAGTGGTAGAATTTGATGATGATGATAATAAGGATCAGAATTTTCATATTTAAAATGATCATTGTAATTATTTGTGAATTCGTCGGCAGACGGAGTTTCATCAAATTTTTTGTAGGGAACCGTCGGAAGTAGGAAAGGATTTTGATAACGATTTTCATACGGAATAGAATAATCAGGAAAGAAAGGATTTTGATGACGATTTTCGTAAGGAATGGAATAATCATAATGTGGAAAGAAAGGATTTTGATGACGATTTTCGTATGGAATAGAATAATCAGAAAAGAAAGGATTTTGATGACGATTTTCGTATGGAATAAAATAATCATATCGCGGAAATGGGGGATAATTCCAAAAATTTCGATTTATAAATGGTAAATTTGGTTGAATAAATTCCGATTGATAGGGATAATTAGGTAAAAATATATCATTGTTGAAATTATATTTTCGTTTCTTTGATTTTCTTTTTTCATCTCGTGAATTTTCTGCGTCATCGTCATTATCGTCATTTTTCTTTATGCTTTTTTCATTATCGGAAGTTTGGTCAAAATTAATTTCATAACTATCCGCATCTCTTCGTTTACGGGAATATTTTTTTTCCCCACTATTATTGAATAGAGTTTTAAGGATAATTTTAACGATATTCTTTTCAAATTTATTGGACAGTTCGTCAAATTTAACTGATCGAGAAATTCGTTTATTTTTTTTATACTTCCAGGATTCGTCTTCTTCTTCTTCTGATGATACTGATGATGATAGTTCATCATATAATGGTGTTGTGTCATCATAGTTTGATTGAAAAATATTAACAGATTCATGTAGAGCATTAGCATCAAATGGTATTTTTGGATAATTTTGTAAATAATTTTTAAGAAATAATGCTGCATCATCTATTTCGATTGATTCATCAGATTTATCCTCTTTTCCTGATAATTTTAACTGTTGTGGAATTATTTGTTTTATCGGTTTTTTGATAAAATCTGTACTTGGAAATTCAGTTGATTCTGATACAGATTCAGGTTCAGATTTATTTTCTGATTTTAACATTATTTCTGGAATTATTGTTTCTCGTTTTATGAGTGTATTTGGTTTTTTGAAAAAATCTGTTGATTTTGATTTGTAATTCTTTATGATTTCATCTTGTTTTGCACGTAGATTATTTTTTAAATTATCTAATTCCTCTTTTGTTTTTTCAATGAATTGTTTTAGTTTTACATCGCCAAATGTATTTTTCAAAATATTGGAATTTTTTAATTTATCAATACTTTCATAGAGATTGCGAAGTATTTCTGCATTACGAATTTTTTGATTTTCTTGTAATTCTTTGAATTTTTCCAATGATATTTTATTGGTTTCACGTTTGACAATAAATGGTCGTAGATATTTTAATGGATTTGTCATCTCTTGAAAAATTGTGAACAATTTTATTTTTGCTTTATTCATTTTTTTCTTTAGTTTTTTGGTATTTGAGGATAATTTAGAGGGAATATTTATTGGATATGATTTTGTTTGATATTGATTATCAGATTTTTTTGTCTCTCTTGTGAAAATACTTCGAATTTGTTTACGTGATGATGATTGTTGTGTTGAATTTTCAGAATTTGAATTTTTTTTATCTGTAGAATTGGGGGAAGAAATTTTTTTTGAAGAATTTATTATCGATTTTGTTGTACTCTCATCGGAATTATTTACAGTTTTAGCTTCTCTTCTTGATCGTTTTATTTGCTTTTCGATTTTGAATTTTTTTATAATTTTTTTCTCATCGGCATTTGTTAAATCTAATTGTTTATTATGTTCTAATTGAACTGATTTTATTTTTTCTTTTAATATTTCAAATTCTTCAGTTGGCAAATTTTCTTTTTCCTCTTTTTGTAAATGTGTAAAAATATTCACTTTCTTTTTCTTTTTCTCATTAAATCCGCAAATCTTTAACTGTTAAACAAACGATTTTATAATAATTTTATTATATTTTTATATTTCTTATTTTATTATTATTATTATTATTATTTTTAATTTTATATTTTAATGTTAATAAAATAATTATCCTTGAATTTTACCTTTAAATTTGGAATCACCCAGAAACCAATTCCTCCAGATGGAAGAATAATGGAGACAGTACTGTTTTCATTTTTTCTTGTAATTGGTTTGATATTTGGTATTTCATTTTTATTTTTCAATTCAAGGAGCTTGTTGTTTAAAAGAACAGTTCTAGAAAAATTTTTTTTTGCATTAAAATTTACAAATTATAATTTTTTTTTGAAGAAAATAATATTTAAAAAAAAAACGTACTCGGCAAACATACGATTCGTAGTGTCAAATCCTGGTAGAAGAATGTATTCGTCAATTTCATTGATTTTGAATTCATTTAAATTTGCCATTATTATTTTGGGTGTTAAATTAATTCCAAAAATTGTTAGTGATCCTTTTTTGTATTTTAAAGAAGGTTTTGTACATTGACAAAAGAAATTAATATCGCTCTTATTTTCCATTTGCATATTTATGTCGAATACTTCGGGACCAACCAAAGTTTTGTGAAGTAACGAGACCCAAAAGTCCTGTATTAAATTAATTAATTAAAATTTTTTTTTTATTATTATTAATAATAATAATAGTAATAATTATTACCGGAGTGGATTTGAATAAATTTGAATTAAAAGGCTGTCTCATTAGAATTTGAGCACCAATTTTTGCTGCATTTCCTAATCTTCTGGCCCACACAAGTGCGCCAATAAATTGATTTTTACATTTCTCTTCTTTTGATTCGGCTGGTTTGAAAATTAAATTAAAATTTTTTTATATTTATAATATTAATTTGTTTTACATTTTTGAATTCTAATTAATTAATCAAAAATACAATATTTTCTATAAAGAAAATTGTTTTATTAATTTTCATATTTGAATTTCGCGCCACATCACCGCGCATGATCTATTACGCAGTGGCGGGAAATTCAAATTCGTAAAATCGTCTAAAACCCTTTTTCTTATTATTTTCCATAAACTTCATTAATAAAAATGTCTAATATCAAATATTATTAATTAATATTAATATTGAATGTTAATAATTAATATTAATAAAAAAAAAATCGTTAAAATTATCACCTATCCATAATGGTTTATCCGATATTGATTCTCCAATGATTTTTTCTAAATTTTCCTTTTTAGTCAAAATATTTTCGTCACGTATTATTACTTCATTATTATTTAAAGAAATCTGATCAAAATTTCTGAAACAAAAAAAATTAAATATTTTTTTTTTTTTAATTAAATATTTTTGTTTCTAAAAATGAAATTTTTTTTTTTGGAAAAAAGTAGTATTTTTATTTAATTTGATTTTTACTTACGGATGCCAAGTTACTGCTGAAAGAGCAGATCCAGCTGAATTAAAATAATTCTGTAAATATTTTTTTTCTTTTTTTGTTTTAAATCCAATTACATCAGGTCCAACAATAATACTCGTTGAATATCTTGGAAATTCATTAAGCATTTTTCGTAAATATTTAACTTCTTTTCCTAATTTTTCCCCTCGCAAATCACATCTTGTTTGACATTCTGTATTTATTTAAAAAAAAATGAAAATATTTTAATTTTCAAGAAATTTTATTATTTTTATTTAATTTTTTTTTACCATATCCAAGCTGCCAACTTGTATTATAACCCATTTGATCACTAAGGGCAATTAAATTCCATGTTTCTGATGAATCTTCATTATATTCATTTGATTCTTGTCCAATGCATGTGATTAAATTTAAACCCGATTTTTCCGCCCACTTATTAATTGCGTTCAAAATCGTTTCTATATAAACAGTTAATATTTTTAAATATTTAAAAAAAAAAATATTTAATATTAAAAGTTTATTTTTAAAAATAAAATAAATATTAAAAATTTTTTTTTTAAAATAAAATAAATAAATATCTTAATTTAGTAAAAAAAAAAAAATTCTGCTTTCTTGTCAAAAATAAATTTTGTAAAGTAAATATATATTCAGTAAATTTTTTTTAATAATTTCGATTAATTAATTTAATTTATACTTACCATTTAAATTATGATTGGAAATAGTTTGATTATCCTGAAGTAATTTTACATTTTCAAAAGTAAAAGAATTACTTTGCGGTCCAGCAAAACGAACATAGGCAGGCGAAAATGCTTTTGCTATGTTAATATTTCTTTCCAAATTTGTACTATATATAAAATGTCCAATTTTATCATTTTTTTTTTACAAAAATAATTCTTAAATTAATTAATAATTTATTATTATAAAAAATAGAATTTAAAAAAATTAACGTAAATTTTTTTAATGAAATAAATTTTTAATTCAATTTATTTGAAAAAAAACTCTATTTTTAATATTAAAAAATTGTCATTAAAACCCACCTTAAAAAAATATTTTTCAAATCATCAGAAAAAATCCATGATGGATCCAATGTAAAACTGAGAAATTTTTCACTAGTTACAAAAATTGGTTGTTTTATATTTAAATTTAAAATCACTTCCTTCGCCAACGAATGGCAAACTAATGAGAAAATGAAAATTATTATTTTAAATCTCATTTTTTTTCATTCATATATATTTTTCTCTTATTTTTTATTTAATTTTCAATTAAAAAAATTCAATTAAAAATTTTAATTTTATTGGTTAATTAAAACCAAAAATATAGGAATTTATTTTTAAGTCATTCACGAATTTTTTTTTTTTAACGAATTGCGCTTTGATCGACGTTCTTTTTTGAACTGAGATATTCGGACATGAATTAAATTTCATTAAATAATTGTTTATATTATATTATTTTTTTTTCTTATTGTGTAATTGGAATTTTATAGTTGTGTAAATTATAAAGAATTCAGGCTGTGCGACATTTTGAGAAATGCAATATTTGCAGAAAAATTTTTTCTTTTTTTTCCAAGAACAATAATTATTTATGTGGAAAATTTGGTTACAATTATTTTTTTATGCAACATTTTTTTCAAGAAAATTTTTTTTTTAATTCAACAAAATACAAAAAGATGCATGTTAACAATTGATTTACAAATAATTTGTTTCTGTTTTTATTTTTGGGAAAAATTTTAAACAAAAGTTTAATGAGAAAAGTTTTTTTTTAGTCTTAATTAGTAGAAGCCATTTTACCAAAAAAAAATTTTTTAATTTTTTACAAAAAATTTTACATTTCTTTTTTTTAATTTTTTTTTTACATAATATTCTAGTTAGAATTACTCTCTAAATCTAATTTTAAATTTAAATTTTTAAAATTTTGTCTTTATTTTTAGTGAGAAATAAATTATTTGAGGTTATGTTCGCGCTTTGAGCTTTGACCTAGTCTTATTTTAAGGTTATGTTCGTCCCTTGTTCTTTGACTTTGAATTTTGAAGGTGTGTTCGAAATTTTTTTTGTGAATTTGTAACGGACATCGGATTATAATTAAATATTGAATTATTTTGAAAAATTAAATATTTAATAAATTAAAAATTGAAATTTAAAAAAAATGTGAACATTGAGAAATTGCAAATTTTTTCGAATATATATATATATATATATAGTGTAAGTAATGACCATTGACGACCGGTTTCAATAGACTAAATAAGCAAGTTAAACCGTTACTATATACAAACGAAGACTTTCATATCTCAAGCAATTCTCGAAAACTGCAATTAAACAGCACCTATGACACTTACCTACTTAGAAATAAAAAAAAAATATATATAATCGAGTTGCTCTGACATTCCGCACTCTTATATATTTATATAGTTTCACATTTTTTTTTTCTTTTTTGCTATATGATTTTATACCGTGCGACTCATTCAAACATAGAAAAGTTTTTTTTTGTTTTTTTTTAAGAATCATTTGAACAAAAAAATTTAAAAAAAAAAAAAACGAATTTTGGTTCAGATTTTCTCGGATTATCCAAAAATTTTCAAAAAGTAATTCATTTTTTTTTTATTTCTATACTGTAATCAAAACGTGACTCCATAAATTTTAGTGACACATTTCTTTTACTTTTTTTTAGATATTTCAAAAATCTTTTCAAAAGCTAAACCGTGTAACACGTTGAAAAAAAAAATTTGCATAATTGGTAAATATTATAAATAACCATGAACGACCATTGAATTTAGTTCTATGGTAAAAATAGTTAATTTTGTCCCTTTATATTTGGTAACAAAAAATTTAAATATAGCGTAGATTTGTATGTAATAGGATTTAATTTTTTTTTTCAAATTTGAATTAGAATTTCTTTTGTCAATATAATAATTGAAAAATTAGAAATTTCGAAACAATACGTTTAAAAAAAAATTTTTTTTTACATAATATTCTAGTTCGAATTACTCTCTAAATCTGAATTAGTAAAATTTTTAACTAATTTGAATTAGTGACTAATTTACTAATTTTAATTTCAGTAAAATTTTAATTAATTTTACTAATTTTTAAATTAGTATTTATTTATTAATATTATTTAATTATTTAATTAATTAGTTAATTAATTAGTTAATTTATTAGTTAATTAATTAGTTAACTAGTTAATTAACTAATTAATATTTCTAAAAAATTACTATCGAATTAGTAAAATTTAATTAATTTAAAAGCAAAAAGTGAGACATTAATTAAAAAATGAAGAATTAAACAATATTTCAATTCGAAGAAATTTGTGATTTTATTTTTGCTTATAAGAATTATAAAAGATAAATATTGTAATGCAAATTATTGAATAATTATTTAATTTTTAAAAATAAAATTACCAAATTTTTCTTTATCTGAAATTGACTCACTCTTTGTACAGTTATCTTTTGTTTAAATATAATCGACTTAATTTTCGACAGAATATTAGCCACTGGTATATTTTTTTCAGTTATTTTATCTTTAATATAATTCTTTGTCATATACCTATTAAAATATTTATTTAAAAATGATTCAAGTTTATTCAATTGAAATAGAAAAAAGACATTGTGTTGTTATAAGAAAATTTTTTCTACTTAATTATTAATTGCCATTAATTAATTAATAATTGTTATTACCTAATAATAATAATAATAATAATAATAATAATAATAATAATAATAATAATTATCATTTTTATTATTTATTAGTTAATATAAAATTATTTTCAATTATCTATTTTTCTATATAATAATGAAGTAGAGAATTTCTTATCAACTTTCGCATTTGAATTTCGCGCCACAACACCGCGCATGATCTATTGCGCAGTAGCGGGAAATTCAAATTGATTTTCTTAATTTTTTATCAATTAGTCAAAAAGTAGACACTATTATGTAAAATATTTTTTTAAATTACAGTAATTATTTATTACTGTCATTATTTATAATAATAATAATTATTATTATTGTTATTATTATTTGTTATTAATATGAAATAATTTTTAAATCACTGTTTTTCTTTATGCAAACGGTTTTATTATCACCACGCTATTTTAAATAAATAAATTATTCAATTACAAGATCATTATTGTTGTCTGCACTTTTTTTCTATTTATATTTAAAATTGAAAATAAGTTTTCTCATACGAAGAACGTATATGTATATTTATTAAAATACACAGAAATCGTCACAGTTTTTTTTTAAATTACGAAAATTTAAGAAAAAAAATGGAAAATTAATTATTAATTGAATTAGTTGACAGGACGTTGAGAAATCGATATTATACATATAAAAGAATGCACATAATTGATAGAAAAGTATATATGTATAAAAGATATATATATACATATATATATATTGAGAATATATATATAAAAGAAGAAAAAGTAATTGACACCAATTGAATATTGAAGCTATTTAAACGATGTTGTTAAGTTAATTTATTAAAATTAAAGCAGGAAACCTTCCTTCGAGATAATAAATATTTAAATTAGAACTAGTATCGCAAGGTCCTTGGGTCATCCACGAGTAATATAGGAACATTATCTCTGCTCCTTATTTTGCGCAGATTTTTACACAAGATTACAAAAATTTATATATAGTAAACAATATATATGTAACAAAAATTATACGTTACAGCATCTTTCTTTTTTTTTAATAAAAAAAATAATTTAAATAATAATAATAATAACAATAGTACCTCAAAAGCTTTTATTTAATTAATTAATAATACTAATAATTTTTATGTTCCGGACCCCCTAAATTTTTTTTAATTTCCCTTTCTTTGTTTAGAAAACGAAAAAAAGAGATTAAATTTTTTTTTTTATAGAGGATCCGGAACATAAAAATCATTAAATAGTTGTAATAGATAAAAATTATTAATTTAATTATATAAATTATTAATTATATAATAATTTTCATTGAATTTAAAATAAAAAAATTTTGTCAGGGTGAAAATGAAAACTTTTTTAATATTTTTGTATTTTAAATTGAATTGTGAATACGGTGGATAAATGAACACGTTTTAGATTAATGATTGTAGCGTGAAAAAGATACCGTTTTGCACTGAAAAAATTCCTCTTTACATATATAATAAATATTCTTTCGCGAATTATTTCAATTTCCATATTTGAAATTATAATCCTTTTTTTTCATTATTATTATTATTATTATTATTATTATTATTATTATTATTATTATTATTATTATTATTATTACTTATTAGTTATTATAATATAAAATAATTTTTTAATTCACTATTTTTTTATGCTAACAATTATTTTTGCTATCAGTATAAAAATTTCGAGTCTACTTTTCTGCAGAGAATTTTTTCATCAATTGTCAAATTTGAATTTCGCGCTACACCACTGCGCATGATCTATTGCGCAGAAGCGGGAAATTCAAATTTGTTTTCTTAATTTCAAAAAATTAGTCAAAAAAATAGTAGGTAAAATATTTTTTAGAATTACAATAATTATTATTTAATATTATTATTATTATTATTATTATTTAATATTTATTAATATGAAATAATTTCTTATTTTCAATATTTTTAAGTTATTTTTTTTTTTTGTAAAATATATTGTGGAAAATATACTAAAAAGTGAACTATAAATATTGGTATACCATATATGTATAATTTATTATACATGTCTCTGTGTATATATATATAGATACTAGTTGGTATAAAAAATATAATTTAACCAACCAGAAAGGCCAAATTGACAAGGACGATGACAACTGGGACGTCTTCTGACGTAAATCAAAAGTAGAAGAAGAAATAACAGAAGAAAGATGAATCGAGTCTGTGATTCTGCAATTTGCATTTTCTTAACTATCATAAATTGCCATGATATTGCCAATATCGAATAATAAAAGTTGATATAATACGGATTATATAACATATATATATAATAAGCGCGATTTGTGTGTAAAAATAATAAGTAATTCTTTGTAACTAAAAAAAAATGGAAGAAGAAAAAATTGAGATATTTTAAATGTAATTTCAAAAATTTGACAAATTCTAACATTAAAAATAATTTTTAGTTAATTATTAAAATTGAAGAAAAAATTTAAAAAGTTTAACAAAAAAAAAATAGAAATGGGAAAAAAATTCGTTTCTGCTATTCACAGTTTGGGTTTTCTACAAACTGCACTGTAACATAACCTCAAATTCCTAAATAACGGTCATTTTTTTAAATTTCGGTCAAATGCTGGTGAATATTTACTATTATTATATTTAATAATTACATTAAAATATATTATTAAATATATTATTTATAAATTATTAAAATAATTTTTTTTTTATATTTGACAAAAAAAAAATTATTTTTTTTTCCATATGGAATTTTAGTAAAATTATGCTTAGTCATGATAAGACTTACCATCATCTGACTTGGAACGAGATAAGTTGTTTTTAACTATCACGCTTTCCTTTTCCGTCATCATGTCTTGTAGCTCCTGGACTTCCATTTCAATGGCATCATAACTTTCCTTCTTTCAAAATTTGCATAAATTGACAGTTACAGATCGCGCCGCATTTCGATCTATATCTTTATCCATATTCTCTTCTTTTTTATTTTTCATTATAGTTTCTTCTTTTTTTAATAATAATAATAATAATAATAATAATAATAATTTCACATATTCTTCAATAAACACTATATGTAAATTCATCGAAAATTATTAATATTATAATAACCTATTTTACACAAATTCGGCAAATTAAATTTAATTATTATTATTATTATTTATTTTTATTATTATTTTTATTAATAAATAAAAAAAAATTACTCCCAGAGAAATGATATATTTGTCTCAGAGCGAAATAAATTTTTATTTGATTTATAATTAAGTATTTATTTGATTTAAATAAATACTTAATTGATTCAAATAAATTGGTTTATTTGATTTAAATAAATACTTAATTGATTCAAATAAATTGTTTTATTTGATTTAAATGAAAATTTTATTTATGACAAATAAAATTTTTTTTATGACAAATAAAATTTTTTTTATGACAAATAAAATTTTTTTTATGACAAATAAAATTTTTTTACGCCAAATAAAAAGAGCTGAGACAAATATAAGTTTATTTAACTCAAGTATATTATATTTGGTTAAAATAAAACATTTATCTGAGTGTAAAATTTATTAAAAAAAAAAAAAAAAAAAAAAAAAAAGGCAATAAATGATACACACAGAGAAAAATTATATTTAAACCAAATATATATTATTATTTGAATTAAATAAACGTATATTTGTCTCAGCAACAACTAGACTTTTTATTTGTTTTAAATAAAAATTTTATTCGACATAAATAAAACACATATATTTGACCCAAATAAAATTTATTTAAAACAAATAAAAAATCTAGTTGGTACTGAAATAAATATATTTTTTCTCTGGGTGTAATAATAATAACAACAATAATAATAATAATAATATTAATAATAATAACAATAATAATAAATTATTGCGCTTTGTTATAACAAAAATTGTTGTTTTATTATTTTGTTATTTATAAAATTATAATTATTTTTGCATAAAAAAATAAAAAAAGTATATTAAAATAATAATAATAAGAATAATAGTAATAATAATAATAATAATAAGAATAGTAATAATAATATGTTATTTAAATATATAATAAATTATTAATAATTGTTAATTGAAAATTAAAATTAAAAAATTGAAATTAAATTAGAAAAAAATTTTTTTTTAAATATACACAAAAATTAAAGGTAACTCGAAAGAGAGAGAGAGAGAGAGAGAGAGAGAGAGAGAGAGAGAGAGAGAGAGAGAGAGAGAGAGAGAGAGAGAGAGAGAGAGAGAGAGAGAGAGAGAGAGAGAGAGAGAGAGAGAGAGAGAGAGAGAGAGAGAGAGAGAGAGAGAGAGAGAGAGAGAGAGAGAGAGAGAGAGAGAGAGAGAGAGAGAGAGAGAGAGAGAGAGAGAGAGAGAAAAAGAGAGAGAAAAAGAGAGATCCTCGAAGAGTGGGCCGCACTTATATTATATATACGGATCAACGGCCTCCGACGTCATCACCGACCGAGTTTGTGTCAAACGACAAATATCGTCTTGTCTTGTTTCCGAATATGTTAACAAGAAAATTCCAGATGGCGTTACTAACATTCCTCCACCCCCCCCCCTTTCCTCCCCCTATTTATATTACACTCGTGGAACAAAACATAAATTACTGCGTGTCTTTCGCTCATAATAAAAAAAAAAAACAAAAAAAAAAATCAGTAATCGTCTGGAGGACGATCAAGGCGCCAGGCGTCGATAACCGGAAGTCGCTAACCCCCCGCCCTTTTCACCTAGAGAACTTGCGTTATATTTATTTTGTTTTAATATACCAAAAAGTATATATATATATATATACATGTGTGCGCGCACACACAACTGCTGCTCCAGTCAGATTGGATTTTTGATCTATCGATCAATCGATTATATCAATTTTTTAAAGATTAATAATTATTTTTAATTTTTTTAAAATTAATATTATTATTATTATTATTATTGTTAATTAATTAATTAATTGACTGATCACAGTCTCTTATTCGCGCGCGCGCACTCTCGCTCAAAGTCCGAGCCGGCAGAAAGCGGTCGCTCTACTGTCTTGTCGTCTGCAATGGGAATGGCCGATAGTCTCGAGACAAGCGTGGGGACGTGCACGTATCGCGATTATAATATATACGCGTGTAACATAATTTTTGCTTGGAAAATGTGAAAAAAAAATTATTTTTTTTACCATCCAATTGTTTTTTTTTTTTTTACTGATGAAAAATAATGATGATGTCCATCGATTACTATATAGAAAAAGAAGAAAAAAAAATTAATTCCTTTCTACTCCTCTGCGTTGGAAATAGGTCATTTTACTCCCTAGTGTTGAAAAAAAGGCGTTTTTCTCTCTAGGGTTAGAAAAATACTTTTTAGGGCACAAAAAGAAATAGTTTTACTCCCTTGTGTTGGAAAAAACTCGTTTTTCTCTCCAGGTTTAAATACATATTTTTGTTAGAGTTCAAAAAAGTTAGTTTTACTCCCTAGTGTTGGAAAAAACTCGTTTTTCTCTCCAGGATTAGAAAAATACTTCTTAGGGTTCAAAAAAGTTAGTTTTACTCCCTAGTGTTGGAAAAAAACTCGTTTTTCTCTCCAGGTTTAAATACATATTTTTGTTAGAGTTCAAAAAAGTTAGTTTTACTCCCTAGTGTTGGAAAAAACTCGTTTTTCTCCAGGATTAGAAAAATACTTCTTAGGGTTCAAAAAAGTTAGTTTTACTCCCTACTGTTGGAAAAAACTCGTTTTTCTCTCCAGGATTAGAAAAATACTTCTTAGGGTTCAAAAAAGTTAGTTTTACTCCCTACTGTTGGAAAAAACTCGTTTTTTTCTCTAGGGTTAGAAAATTACTTTTTAGGGCACAAAAAAAATAGTTTTACTCCCTAGTATTGGAAAAAACTCCGTTTTTCTCTTCAGAATTAGAAAAATATTTTTTGTTAGAGTACAAAATAGATAGTTTTAGTCCCTAGTGTTAAAAAAAAGTTGCTTTACTCTCCAAAGTTGGAAAAATACTTGTTAGGGTACAAAAAAGTTAGTTTTACTCCCTAGTGTTGGAAAAAACTCGTTTTTCTCTCCAGGTTTAAAAAAATATTTTTGTTAGAGTACAAAAAAGATAGTTTTACTCCCTAGTGTTGGAAAAAAGTTGCTTTTCTCTCTAAATACTTATAAGAGTAGAAAAAAGAACAGTTTTACTTCCTAGTGTTGGAAAAACATTGCTTTTTTCTCCAGGGTTAGAAAAATATTCCTTTGGGTTCAAAAAAAAGATCATTTTACTCCCTAGTGTTAAAAAGAAAACTCGTTTTTCTCTCCAGAGTTAGAAAAATGCCCTTTTACTTATTAGGGTGTAAAAAAAGACCGTTTTACTCCCTAGTGTTAGAAATGGCACTTTTACCCTCTAAAGATAATGAAAATTCCTACTTTATCAATAATAACAATAATTAGAAGTTAGAATAGATTTTATTATTTATTATTATTATAATACAATAATAATAATAATATAATAATAATAATAATAGTAATAGAAAATAATAGTAATTATAATAATAATTTTTGTAAATATTTTTGTTTATTCAAGTGTCACATTAGTTAATAAATTGAAATTTTTTCGCATTTTGTTTTCTTTGCACAATACTATAATTGACAATTTCAAAATAAATTCATAAAAAATAATTTTATCAGTCAACCTGATGACCTTTGATTGACCTACACGCGATACACGAGTAGGATCTCTCGTTTCCATTTATTTAAACTTAAATGTAAAAATTTTTTTCAATCCTTTTTTTACAAAAAAATAAAATAAAAAAACCAAAAAAAAAAAATTTTTTTTTTCAAATAATTATCGTTATTATAAAAATTAACTTCGTTATTTTTTATATTATTATTATTTTATTATTAATATTATTATTATTATTATTATTATTTATCATTTATTTATTAATTATTATTAGTATTATTATTATTTTATTATTCGTATAATATATGTAATGAACGTCTCATAAATTATCAAAACATAATAATATATTACCAAAAAAAAAATATAAACAGTTATCTTTTATTTTTAGCCAATTTTTATCATTTTATAAATAACGTTAAAAAAAATTTTTTTAAAAATAAAAATTTATTTTTCATGAATTATCAAATTTTAGATAATTAAAATAATAATAGTAATAATAATAATAATTATTATTATTGAATTATATAATTCTGAAAATTCAGACTCATAGATGGCAGTGGTTGTACAAAAATGGAAAAAGGTCGGTAATATCTTCAATTTTTTTCCAAAATATATAATATTCAATAATTTTACATTATTATTACTATTATAATTATTATTATTATTGTTATTATTCTTACTATTCTTATTCTTATTATTTTATAAATAAACTAATCTAATAAACTAATACATACGTGGGAAATTATCTTCTTTTATACACATATGTAAGAATAAAAGACGTTCCATAGGGGTCGCTCCTTACAAAAATTCGAGTTATCAAATTATTATTTTACTTATTGCGATTTATTAAACAAAATTATAATTATAATCCCTACAGTAATTATTATTATTATTATTATTATTATATTGCCATAATTATTATTATAACTGAAAAAAAATAAAAATTCAGAAAAAAATGTTTCTTACCATAGGAAAATGTTATCATGTTAAATAAACTCGTGCTCTACATTACCGACTGAACCATTTTGATGTTTCAATCTAGTACCGCGGCACGCCGCACACTGGTCGTTCTACGATAATATCCCCTCCTCTCTGAAATCAACGAAAGAGAGAAAAAAAAAAAAAAAGAATACACCACTCTGTGTTAGTTCTATAGTAAGTGTTTAAAAATTGACAGGTAAAACATATAAGAGTTGTCGTCGTGTTTTTATCAGTGATTCAGTGAACGTAAATGTAACACACATCGATAACAATAGAATGTCAAGATAAATTTTCAACATTCACAGTTGTTAATCAGTGCCACATGCTTGCTTGAACCTCGACTTCTCTCGGCTATTCGGAAAATAAGAAGGAAGAAAAAAAAAAGATGATGATAAGTTCGCGGTAAAAACACACATGATTGCAACATAAACCGGGTATGTGTTAAATCTTTTTTTTTCTGATACACGTGTACCTATAATAATTATACCACACATACCGGAGAGTTATTTAAATCAGTAGATTATTGCAGAGGTTTTGTGAGTGTGTGTCTCTCTCTCTCTCTCTCTTTTCTCATTTCACTTTTGCTCTCCTCCAATCCTCCCTCACGTCGATATTGCGAATTCCCCTATATCGCATATACAACCAGGCTCCTTTACTCTTCTCGACACAACAGTGTCATACACAAGTGTCTCAGTTTCCGTCTTATAAGTTGTTTTTTTTTTAAATTTGTTCCTTTTTCGCTAATTTTTTTTTTTTTAATAAAAAGAAGTTTTTTTATAACCAAATGTGAGTGGAGAGAAAATTATTATTCAAGTTGTAAAGTGATACGGTTTTTGAGTTTTACTTTCACTCAATGAGTGAAATATAATAAAAATAATAGTGTTTCCGGGTTTATAAAGTGATATACTCACGGGAAAGGGGATATTTTGTTACACCCCCCCTTCCCTAACCCTGTTTTTGTTACATATATACTCACAATAAGGAATATATAGAGGTAAATTGAATATTATTTATTTTTTATTTATATTTTGTATTTTAACTAGAATTTTTAATTTAGTATTGTTTTTTTTACATTCTGTGACTTTTTTTTGAAAGTTAGGTTAGGTTTCTTCGTTTCTAGCGAAGATTTTCTCTATATGTGTGTTTGCAAGTTTATAGAGTATATAAAGTTGTGTTTGAAATATCCTCTTGGGTTGATTACCGGTTTAAACAGGTTGATCGGGTATTTAGTTTTTAGAGCACTTTTTTTTTTATCTATTTTAAGCTTCCGCTCATCGTGTATGGAATGCTGATTTTCTCTAAGGGCTTTTTTTTCGCAATGCGTGAAAGGGTTTTTCGAATTCGTGTGTAAAATATTTTATATATTATTTGGTGGTTTTTTCCCACTTTTAATAATAATAATAATAATAATAATAATAATAACTAGAATTAATCAGCGTTCTCGAAAACTTCTAAGTAATGTAATAAGATTCAAAATGCTTTGGTGAATTTTTTAAATTTTTGGGCCGCCATATTAAATCCGCCATTTTGGATTTTTGAAAACGGACATAATATAAACGTAATCAGCATCCCAAAAACTTTAAAAATAATATATGATGAAAAATTATTATTACGATAGTTAATTTGCGCCTTAAAGGGTTAAATAAATTTTTTAATTCTAGCATAAAAATTTTATTTTATTTTTTTAACGCAATCTTCTCTCTTCTGTCCATGAAAATAACATAAGAATATCTTGCTCTTGCCTAATTTGCATATCTACTCGTTTCATAGTAAGGATTAATTGAAATTTTTAATTTCAATTTCGACGAAAACGTGCAATTAAAATTCTTTTTTTTTTCCTAATATTATATTTAGTATTTTATTATATTATTTTTCTTTATTATTTTCTTATTGTATTTTATTTTTTAATTTTTATTTATTGTTACGTTTGTTTTTATTTTATTTGTAATATTATTTAAATATTATTTAAATATTTATTGAGATTTTCTTTCTCTGTTTAATTTCCTTATTATTTTTTTTTGTTTTTTGTTGTTTTTTTTATATTTATATTTTTTTAATTTTTCCTGAGTTTGTTGTGAGAATTTTAAATATGTATTTTCGGAAATATTTACATTTATCTCTTTTTATATTTCGTCATATGCTCTTTGAATTTCATTATATTAATAGATTTATGAGAAATATTATTTCACTTTAAAAAGAAAAAATTGTTTTTTTTTTAAATTACAACTGTAATAATAAATCGCTATATTCTGTGAGCTCGATATTTTGTTACAAATATTAAAAAAAAAATATTCTTTTAAAAAATTAATTAATTTATAACTATTAATTTAATTTTTTTCTAAACTTTAATAATAAAAAATAACAGTAAAATTGAATTTAAAATTAAAAATTAACATTTTTAAATTATAATTTTTTGCAATTAAATATATTAATTACTTCCGTTTATAATAATGATTTAATTGGATAATAATTATTATTTATTCGTGACAATTATTGAGAATGTGAAATATTTAGGTTTTTTTTTCATGGGTTTTTTGACTTCGTGTTTTCCTCACCTACAAGCCTTCTATCTCTCTCTAATAGCAAATTTATTTTCCATTTATAGTAACTTCCTGATTGCATTAGACTTTTAATGCAGTCTCTTTAATTGGCACAAAGTTAACAAATTGGCAAAATACATACATACACATTTTCGAAAAGGTGATTCAATTGACCTTGAATTTTATAATCTACTTGAAAATTGAAAATTTCGTCGAATAATAATAATTATTATTATTATTATTGTACGAAAAATTGCAATTTTATCAGACTCTTGTTTCGCGAAAATTATCATGAGAATGAAAGGTGATAATTTATAATAGTAACGAATTATTTTTTTTTTATTATTATTATTTTTTTCATTTTTATTTTATTATAATATTTTAAATTTTTTACAATATTAATAATTTTTTAATTTGTTATATTATAGTAATTTTTTAATTTTATACAATATTAAAATTTTTATTTTTATGTTTAAATTATTTATTAATAAATAAATAAAAAAAAAAAAAAGAAAAGAAGTTTTTACTCGAGTAAAAATTTATTTTTCTTTAATAATAGTTGCCTAATGGCTTTTTAATTATCATAATATATAATTTTTCGAAGCGAAATTCTACATTCTCATTAGAACTTCAATAAAAAAAAAAAAAATTTCATAGATCAATGTTACGATATTTAAATTAAATTAATTAAATAAATGAATAAATATTTAAATTAAAATTAAATAAATAAATGAATAAATATTTAAATTAAATAAATGAATAAATATATTTAAATCAATTTACAATATTTAAATAAACTACACCAAAAAAAAAAAAAATTATTTAATCCAAATAAAAATGATTTAAATTGAATATTAAATATTGATTAATTTGATTATTATAAAATAAATATTTTTTTTTTAAAAATTATATTTTTTTGGGTATCAATATGAAAGAATATTTCAAGCAATTATAAAATTAAGAAATTAGATTATGTACATATTTTTTGCATTTTGATTTTTATTGTAATTTATTTTTTTCTTTTTTTACAGAAGGTAGGAATTATTTTTCATCGATACATGTGTCATATGTATAATTGACTTATGATGATTATTAAAAGGTCATTAAGCCAACATTTATAAATGAATCTTTTGAATATACAATTTAAAAAAAAAAAAGTTGCTTGGAAATTTTGTTTCTCTTTTTATTTGATTCATAAACAATTCAAATAAAAATATTCAATTGAAATTCAGTTAAAGAATTTAGTTAAATCAAACAGTTCGTTTAGCTGAATTTTTTTTTTTTTGGATTCAACCAAAGTTTTCAAAAAAATTAAATCAAATTTTTTTTTTTTTTAATTACCGGATATACAATCGTAAATAATACTTTCAAATAGTATAAAGATAGAACTGAGAATTATATATAAATATATTTATATATTTAGTCTATATAATTCAGAACATTAAATTTATCGCCACTTGTAAAAATAAGTATTTAATTATACCCACTTTCCAGCATTAAGGAAAATAAAACCGGTTTTCAATGACGAATTTAAAAAAAATAGATAATAATGCTTCTATGATGATAGGGACTTTTAAAAAAAATAAATAATAATAATAATAAAAATAATAAAGTGACAAGTACAACATCGAAACTAGATCTCTTCCTGTTATATATATCTCATTTACGTATTTTTGCGATGACGTTCTTTACTTGGAAATTAAGTTTTAATGTTGGTAAAAATTAGTAAAAAAAAAAAAAAAAAAAAATTTCACTAATTTTTAGTAACAAAAATTACTAAATATTTTCACTAATTTTTAGTAACAAAAATTACTAAATATTTTCACTAATTTTTAGTTACAAAAATTACTAAATATTTGGTATAATTTTTTTAAAATTGTAGTAAAAAAAATAACTGAAAATTTGTAGAAATTTTTTTTTGCTAATTTTTAGTGAAATATTACTATTTGGTTCAGTAAATTTTTTTTTTACTTAAGTTTTAGTATTCGAAAAATTACAAAAAATTACTAGAAATTTTCACTCGTTTTCCTTCGAAATTTTTTATTCTTTTACTAATTAGTAAAATATTACTATTTGGTTTAGTAATATTTTTTTTTTTTAGTTTCAGTATCCCAAAAATAACTAAAAATTAATAGAAATTTTCACTAATTCGTTTACTAATTTTTAATAAATTTAATTTACTAAAATTTATACTAATTAAATACTAATTTTTGATTTACTAATTTTTTTTTATCAAAATTTTAGTAAAAAAAATAACAAAACAAAAATTATTATTCGATTTAGTGATATTTTTACTATTTAGAAATACCAAAATTATATTGACTAATTAAATAATCATTTAATTATCTATATAGTAAAATAATAAAATAATTACTATATATATTTCGTATCGTTGGGAAATTACCATCAAATATAATTTCTAATTGTGTCCCACGTGTCCACGCGTCGATATAACTAATTTCCATTTCTAATTTCAATGAGAATATTATGAAACTCATTTTTGATTCATCTTATGTAATATTCAAGTTAATCGTTGGAAAGACAATTTGCTTATTTAGTTTTCTTCCGCGATTAATTTCTCGAAAGCCTCTCTCTCTCTCTCTCTCTCTCTCTCCTGGGTCGTTGTCCCCTTGTCTATAAATACAACACCGTCTATTAAATATAATTTATCTGACAATGTTACCAGCAATAGAATATTAACCAATGTCATGTACATTGGTATGGTTCATTGTACTGATTTTTATTTATTTATAGATTATTTAAAAAAAAAAATTATAATAATCGATGAAAATTCGAATGGTATTATACATTTTTATAACTAAAAGAAAAAAAAGAAAATAATCAACATTAATTTGCATTATGTTTAAAAAAGTAAAAAAAAAAAAATTAAATTATTTAATTACAATGTACGGGCTTATAGTAAAAAATAACTTAATCAATAAATAAATAAATTATAATAATTATAAATATGTAAATTATAATAATTATAAATAAATAAATTATAATAATTATAAATAAGTAAATTATAATAATTATAAATAAATAAATTATAATAATTATAAATAAGTAAATTATAATAATTATAAATAAATAAATTATAATAATTATAAATAAGTAAATTATAATAATTATAAATAAATAAATTATAATAATTATAAATAAGTAAATTATAATAATTATAAATAAATAAATTATAATAATTATAAATAAATTTGTATTTGTTTAAAAAATATTGTTTTATTCGCATTAGCAATGACAGAAAATAACTTTATTATACACTAATTGCGAAACATAACCTAAAAAGATGGAAAAAAAATAATAATATTTTTGCGTAGGAAATCCACGTGGTCGTATTTTATTGAGCGACAAAGTAAATATATTGCAAATGACGACTATTAATAATTGTTCGGCGTTTTTAAAAGCTTAAGTTACATTTTTTTAAATATTATTTTATAAATTCAATTAATTTTATTTTAACTAACATTTTTATTATTATATTTATAAACTATTTTTATTAACAGAAATTTTATTAATAAATAAATTTAAAAAAAATTATTACTAATTATTATAAATTATTATTATTATTATTATTATTATTATTATTAATTATTATTAATTATAAATATATTATTTATTAATTGTAAATTTTTTATATAAAAGAAATTATAAATATATTAATTATGAAAATTAAAAAAATTATACAAATATATAAAAAAAAAATGGTAATCCACCATTTAAATGAGGAATTAATTATTTAAAAAAATAAATAAAACAAAAAAAATAACAAGCTTATTGAACGGTTAAAAATATTGCTTATACCTATATACGAAATTTGTTGAATATTTAATAAATTAATTAAAGTTGCAAATTGTGTATGCTATGTGTGAAAGAAAAATTGAGTAAAGTAGAATTTTTTACAAGGGTGTAATGGCAAAGAAAAAATCCATTTGTGACTTTGTAAATTATTTCAAGGTCATTGTAAAGCGCTGAAAATAAAGTCAAATATATATATGTATATTATAAGGGCACACAAAACAATGATAAAATCTTTATTTTATATTCAAAACGATTTTTTTTCTCTGTTTGCAATTTTTTTATTTCATTTTTTTTTTTTTATTGACAAAGTAATCATTTATTTAAACTCTTTTTTTTATTATTATTTTATCAACCGAACAAATATGCAAATATGCAGTATACATTGTCATATTTTGAGGAGAAAAAACATTTTTTTCAAATTTTATTTAAAAATTTGTAAAAAATTTAAAAATTTAGTAAAAAATTTAAAAATTTAGTAAAAATTAAATTAAAATTCTGTTAAATCAAAATTTTATTATTAACTTTTTAATTAATTAGAAATATTTTTATTATTGTTATTATATTATTATTTTATTTATTATTAATACTATTTATTATAATTATTATTATTATTATTATTATTTTATTTATTATTAATACTATTTATTATTATTATAATTATTTATTACAATTAATTACAATTATTAATTTTCAAAAATTATTGTAAAAGTATTCTCTAAATTTGAAATAGTAAAAAAAAAAATTTTTTTTTTTTACTTCCAAATTAGTAAAATTTAACTAATTCAAAAGCAAAAAGTAATTTTGCTAATTTCAATTAATTCAAAATTATTATAGTTGAATTTTTTTTTTTTACTGATTCAAATTTAGAGAGTGTATTTAAAAAAATAAAAAAGATTCTTTAAAAGGGAAAATAGTAGAATATTAAATAATATTAAATGTATAATAATATATAATAAAGAATAATTGAAGGTTTTTCGTTTCCGGTATCATTGAGTTATGCACGCGTTTGTTAACCTGTCCGTCAAGATAAAAAGGTAAAAAAAAAAATTGCAAGTGTAGAAAATTTCCCCCTTTTTATATTATATGTGTAAAAATAATAATACAATGTTGTCAAATTTATGAAACAATTGAAATTTTGAAGATATGTTAACAATAATTAATTAATAATAATAATAATTTATATTTATTTAATTTAATAATAATTTTTTTTATTATTATTCTTATATTGATTTTGATTTTTTTTTCACAGCATCTTAAGGGAGTAATCGAAGATTTACAAAAATTGAGTCGAACATGCCGATGGTGTTTCTGGACCGTTTACCGGTCCCGAGTTTGCGAGTTTACACGGCAATTAGTGTTGGAATATTATCATGCTCTGTATATTATGCCGCGCAAGTTGTCAAGGATCCAGCGTGGCGGACAAATCATACAAATATTGTTGATCACGACAATATTACAACAAATGTCACGGAAATTGATCCACGATCATTTGGCGTTCATTTGAAGGAGATTTTCTCATGCATGGTCCAGGAACCACTATGCATTTGGGTAAAATAATTTTCTTTTTTTCTAATAAATTTATTTTTTTTTCCACAAAATTCGATTTTCAATTTTTTTTTTTTTTTATAGCGAAACAAAAAAAAATGATTACAATTATTAAAACGAACAAAATTAAAAATAATTATAAAATTAAAATAGGTAAAAAATTTATTGAATTATAATCTATTGAAATTTATTATTAATTAATACTTAAAATTAATATATTTTATTTAAATTATATTTTTGTATGATTAAAATTGTTAAAAGTAATTTTTGGAATAAAAATTTTTTTTTGAAATTAAACAGTAACGGTATATAATAAATAAAAATTATTGAAAATAAATAAATTGAAAAAAAAGAATGTTGGATTTATAAGAAAGTAATGAAAAAAAAAAAAATTGGTGTCTTGTCAACCATCCAACTTGAGCCTCTCGGTATCAGAGAGACACTTTACTTGCTGACCTGGTTTCTTACAAAAGGAAGACACTGTAGATAATACGTGGGAAAATTATTGTAGTTGCAGTCACTACGCGGAAAAATAGATTACGGAAGCGTTGAAAGAATTTTCACACAGAGACAAGGGAGAATTCTCCCTTTTTTTTTTTTTTTTTTTTTATTATTATTGTATTTTCCCCGATCTTTTCTATTTATGACTTTTTAATTAAAAAAAGAAAATCCCTTGAAACTAATGTTATTGATAAAATAATAATCGAAAATTTATCAAAGCTCTCTATAAAAATAGTTGCAAGTTATAAAAATAAATTTTTAAAATATTTTTTAATTAGAAAAATGAAAAAATTTTACCGTTAGTAGTTTCTATGATGATAATAATAATAATTTTTATAATAATTATTAATATTATTTTATTAATTATAAATAATTTTATATTATTTTTAATAATAATAAATAGATTTTTTAATCTTATAATAAAAAATAATAGAAAATTTAAAAAAATTGAAAATGAATTAAAAAATAAATTTTTTTTATATTACTGATATTAATAATATATTATAATTATTGAAATAATAATTATTATATAATAATAATTATAATACAAATAATAATAAATTCTAAAATTTTGCTTTCTAATGTGGCGTGTTTACGAAATCTTGTGATCCAATCGTTACGATAGGAATTATTGCGTAATATTACGAACAATGAATATGCGTGAAAATCATTCTTCTATTACAATTTTTTTTATAAGTTGACAATTATTTAAAAAAAAAAAAAATTATCCTTCAGTTAGGATTTTATTCATCAATTTTTATTTTTGATATTTTGCCTTTTCGCTCTTGAAAATTCAAATATTTTAAATTATCATAAATTGAGTTGTCTAATTTTTCTTTTATATTGAAAATTATTATTATTATTATTATTATTATTATTATTGTAATTTTTATATTATTATTATATTATTTTTTATTTATTAATTTTTTTGTTATTAAATAATTTCTAAAGCTGAAATTTCTTTTTCATTTCTTTTTAATTGAAATAAATATAAATTGAATGCAAAAAAAAAATCTAGTCATCGCAATATTGTTATCTGTAGTAGAGAATTTTTTTTTTCCTTTTAACGTTATCTGATAATGATGAGACAAAAAAAAAAAATATTAATCATACATTTCAGAATAATAGAAAATTTGTTAATGGATTTTTTTTTACGTTTCTAGTTTTTATCTTTTGGAAAAATTGTTTTTTTTTTGAGAAAAAAAAAAATTTCTTCTCTTTAAAAAATGAAAAAGAAAATGTTTCCGATTACTCATAAAATATTAATGTCTGACACACAATCATTTTTTAAAAATGACTCGGAAATATAAGTTAAAAATAGAATATATTTTCAATCCTATGAATGTTATGTTTCTAATTTGCAAAGCTAGCGGAATCGTTTATTATTGTTTTTCTAATTATGTAATTTTCTCTGAATGATAAAACAAAAAATTCTCGCATAAATAACAGTTTCCATAATTTTTTTTTTTAATATTTTTTAAGTGTTATATAATTATTATTATGAATAATAATTTTTTTTTAATGGTTATTATTATAAATTTTTACAATTATTATTGTAAATAATACATTTTTAAATGATAATTATTTATATAAATGATTATTTTATATAATAAGTTAACAGTAATTTAGTCTTAATAATTACTAAAAAAAATTCTTTTATAATTAAGTAATTTTGTTTCATTGAATATGTAAAATTGATAATTTTTTAATTTGAAAAGAAAAAACACGCGACGTAAAGAGTCACGTTTTCATTATTCTCACGTTTTAATATTTATCCATTAATTAATTATTTAAAATGCAGTACGAGATTTTAATTTTATTCACAAAAAATCTTGATAAAATTATTGCATTAAATTGAAGCAGAAAATTTAAAAAATAAAAATTATTTTTCGATTTATTTCTATTTTTAACTATTAATTGTAATTTGTATTTTTTTTCTGATAACAAAATTACAATTTGTTTATGAAATTAAATAATTAAATTATGATGAATATTTTATTTTCACTTTAGAGAAATAAAATTATTTGTCTATGCAAAAAATAATAACTTTTCTTCTCAATTTTTGGAAAATTGGATAAAAAATTGATTTGTAAATGACAATAATCTGGTTTTAAAAAATACAACATGTGGATTGTAATTTTCGAAGGAATATTGAATGAAATGACCATTTAAATTATTCAATTATTGGCGCCAAATGAGAAAATCAATATTCAATTTTCTCTTTCAAAGAATTATACAAAACCTGTTTCGTTGAATTTTATTATTTTATTTATTTTTTTTTATTTTAAGTTCAATTGATTGATTTTGCATATATTTTGTATATATACATATGTATTTTTTTTTTTTTTTTTTTATTATTTATACCAAAAATTTTTGAATATAGTATATAAAATTTTTTTCTTTTTAAGAAATTAACATTTTTCGTTAACCTTGAATGTCTAAATAATTTTTGGTACAATTCCCATTCTTCCGTGTTCCTCAATCGAATTTTTGTCAAGGTCCCTATATTTGGCTTTCTTCTCACTCAATATTGCCAAGAAATACGCAAGTGAAACTGTAATTACGTGTATATTAGAAAAAAGGTACACGTGGTTGTCAAGATTCCGAGTTTTTTTTCAGTAACAATTAGAAATTTGATAAAAATAATATAGTTTGCTTTTGAAGAATAATTTCATAAAAAAAAAAATTTTAATATAAAAAGAATATTTTTTTTCCCCATAAAAAGGATATTTTTTTAATAAATAAAAGGAATTTTTATTTTTTAATTAAATTTAAAAAAAAACTATATATTTTCAATAAATTAATTTATGAATATTTTTTTTCCATTTTGAAAATGTAATAATTTTTTTTTCTCTCTTTTTTTTTTTTTTTTGCAGACACTGATAAACATGGCCTATTGCGTCCTAATTTTGTTGGGAAAATCGATCCAGAAACTTGTATTTGGTGAGCTACGAGTTTCGGAGAGGCAACATTTGAAAGATAAATTTTGGAATTTCATCTTTTACAAATTCATCTTTGTTTTTGGTGTACTTAACGTTCAATATATGGACGAGGTCGTCCTCTGGTGCGCCTGGTTCACTGCTCTCGGATTTCTCAGTCTTCTCAGTCAACTGTGCAAAGATCGATTTGAATATGTGAGTATTTTTTTTTTTGTCAACAAGTTTTTCACAATTTTTTTTTTTTTTCCTAGCAAAAAAAGATTATTACTACAATTATTGGTAGAAATAATTGAAAATTTTTACTAGAAAGACGATTATTTGAAAAAAAAAAAAAATTTTTCAAAGTCCACTAAATGATTTAACAATTAGAAAAGAAATTAATTTTTAAAACAAAAAAAAAATTATACAATTTAAAGAAAAATGTTATTTACAATTTTTTTTTAATAAACATTGGAAGACTTTTTTTTTAGAAGAAAATTTATAAAAAATTTTATTCAAAAAAAAAAATATATATTTCTTTTAAAATCGATGATAATAAAATTTTCCCCTTGATTATTAATTTACTTTTTTATAATTTGTTTAATTTTTTTTTTTAATTTCTTATCTAATTTTTTTGTCAATAATTATTTATTTTTGTAACTTATTTTCTTTTTTAAATAATAGAATTCAAAAATAGAATAATAGAATAATTCAGAAAATTGTGTTAATTTTTTTTTTTTTTTTTTAATTTGCGAATTTATATGAAATTTGAGCGCGTGCTAAAAAGTTGATTGGATAAATCAGTCATGGACGATTGATTACTGAAATTGGAACAATTTTTCATGTGTTTTATGTGGTAAAATGACGCGGAACAACAAGTCCTTGACACCTTGGTGAAATTTATTCGTTGTGTGTGCACCTACATGGCTCACTGAATACGCCCCGAGTATATATATATTTCTCAATTGAACCTTGACTATGATATTGTATCGGCTGTTTCTTTTAAACACCAACTAACAAGATGTGTACCACTTATATATCTCTTTATACATTCAATTCTATTTAAAACGCAATTTTTTTTTTCTTTTTCTTTTTATTTCAAAAATTTTTGCAAATCTCATTTTTCTAAAAGCAGAGGCGTAACATGAAAAATATCTGTTTATTTCTAGATATTTAGTTTTGAAAAAAAATTTATTTATTTTTTAAAATTATTTATTAAAAAATAAAAAATTTTATTCAATTTTCGTAAAAATACACTAAAAAAAAATTTATTTGATTCAAATAATCGCTTACTTGACTATTATCAAATAAATATTTATTTGTATCAAATAATTATTTGATTCAAGTAAATATTTATTTTATAATAATCAAATAATCGATTATTTAAATCAAATAAATTTTTTTTCAGTGTTTCTAAAAATACTATTTTAGTTTTATTATTAAATAATTATTATTTTTAATTTCACAATATTCATTTTTCAAACAAATTAATTGTAAAAAAAATTATTGTAAAAAATTATTTTAGTTTTATTATTAAATAATTACTATTTTTAATTTTACAATATATTTATTAAGTTTTTGAAAAAAAATTAATTATTGGTGGAAAAAAAAATCAAGATTTCTAGCTCTTTTTCAAATAATGAATTTTCTGAGGGGGGGGGGGGTAAATGAAAATTTCATTACACAATCAAATCAAGAGATTTACTGTGTGTGGTGGTCAAAATCCTATTAGACTAATGTTTAATCCAATAAAAGTAACGAGGTTACATGCCAAAGGCAGAATGGCGAATTTTTTTTTTTTTTTTTTTTTTTAAATTCAACGTAAAATGTCAGAAAATCGTAATAAAGGGGCAAAAAAAAAAATCAATTTTTTGCTGCGAAATGAACCAATTCTAATTTCGAAAAAATTCTTTTATAAAAGTTTGCAAATCTCAAAATTCTTTTGAAATTTCAATGAAAAGAGAATAAATAATAATTTTTTTCTCTGATATAATGAATAAAAAAAAATAAATTTAAAAAAAATTACTAAATTATCGTATAGAGTACTAAATAAATAAAATTAAATCAATTTTCGAATTGGACAAAAATTAAAGAATTTTCTTTGTTTTAAAAAATTAATTTTGTAATTTTTCTCTTTTTTTTTAGAAAAAACTAAAAAAATATATTTTTAGAACTTGAATCAGAAATATGTATAGATACAAATGCAAATTAATTCGCTTGACTCACTTTACTCTCATTTCATTTTTGAATTGTAATGTTAAGTTCAACTTTTTATTTGTGATTGGAAAATTTTTCTTCTGAGTCACACACAACTTGTGAATAGATTGAGTATTATTATTATTATTATTATTATTGTAATTATTAATCAGTATTATACCTATAATTATTGCTTAATTTCTAGATTGAAATTAATCAAGTTTAACAAGTTGTTATTCACATTAATCACGTGTAGGATTTCTTATGTGTTGCTTCTTTTTTTATTTCAAAAAATAAAACAAGATTAATATCAGTTTTGTTTAAATAATTAATTCAGTTGCAAGTCTCTTTAGTTATTTCTCCTTGACATTTTATTTATAAAATGAGTTGTAATTATTTATATGTATTTTTTATTTTTCACTATAAATTAAAAATTCAATTTTTAATACATTTTTTTTTTTAATTTCAAAAATTAAAAGAAAATCTTTAACTGTAAATTAAAAGAAAAGAATAATTATTAATTTAAAATAAAAAATTTTGTTTGGAAATAAAATTTTTATTTAAAAATATGAAAATTATTTTGAAATATTTTATTTGCCCTGAAACAAATATATTTTTTTTGGTTCTATGATTATCTGAGTTTTTTTTTTTGAGTTTTTCCAAATTGTAATTTTTTTTCCATATAAAATAATGATTGTTTTTTCTTCGTTTTAATGAAAAAATTTTTTTTTCCAGCTCTCATTTTCGCCAACAACTCCAGGATGGAGTCATGCAAGATTATTGGGTCTTTTGGCGTCAATTTTGGCACTTTCTGGATTTATGCTTCTTCTTTGCACGGCCGCAGCATTTTTCTTCGTCTCCTTTAATACTTTCGCTTTCATGTCAGCAGAGGTGAGTCATTTTCTTTATTATTTGATAATTTATTAATTTTTAAATTAAAAAAAATTTTTTGTTAAATTCTTAATTCTTTCGTAAAATTTTTTTTTTTCAAGTTTATTTTCGAGAATAATAAAAAAAAATTCAAGTTTCATTTTATTCCAAGGCAATTAAAATATGTCATACAAATTTGCGCGCGAAGGCTTTTTAATTTTTAGCGAAGGAAAAAAGCAAAAAAAAAAAGTAATAAAATAATCGAAGGTTCGAAAACTTGAATCATTTTACCACTTAATGGACACTGAATCGTTAATCCGGAACTTTAAGATTTTTTTTTTATTATATATCTTATCAAGGATTCACGTTTTGTTCTTGTACATTTCTTTTTAAACTGAAATTTAGTAACGGATTTTTAATTTATTAATAATTAGGAATTAGTCAATAATTATTAATATTATAATTATTATAATATCGATTGAGAATAAGTAAATAAATTATAATAATTAATAATAGAGAAAGAACGAAAATTTTTCAACATTTGTAATTTAATTACAAATCAATGGAAATTTATTCTTGCAACAAAAAAAAAATTTATTGTGAGGAAAATATGTAAATCAATTTTTTTTTTAAATTATTTAAATTGGGACTCGGATTCTAGGATTTTTTCAAATTAAAATTCTCAAAAATTCAATTATTAAAAAAAAATTTTTTTAATTTTCCAAAAGGTATTTTATTTTTTAAAATCTATAAATAAAATTTCTTGATAATTTTCTATATATGTAATTATTTTTTTGTAAAGAAATTTTAAAAAATTTGTTTTTAATATCTAAAAAAAAAACAATGATGAGAGAAAATTCAGGGATTTTTATTAAAAACCGTGGAAAAAATATCAAAGAGCTAAAAAAAATTCCGATATTTGGAAAAAATAGACAGAAAAAAATTACTTTTTTTTTATTTTTATTTAGCTTCAAAAAAATGTTTCAAGTCATCTGAAGATTAGGTCATTTGACCTAATTCTTATTTATAACTTCTTCTTCATCTTCTTCTTCTTCTTTATCGGTCCCAATTTTTATTTATCTTAATCTTTACTTAACTAACTTGAAAGTTAGATTTAATAAAAGATTAGGGTAAGTAAGAATTAGGTTAATTGCAAATTAGGTCAAATAAAAATTTAGTCAAAATATATGACGATTTAACAATAAGTATAATAATTTTCTTATTCTTCTTTACTATATTTACTATTCTGATTAATATTATTATTATCATTATTTTTATTATGATTATTATTTTATTATTTTCATTATTCTGATTATTATTTTAATTATTATTAATTTTTATTAAAATTATTATTATTATTATTATTATTATTATTATTATTATTAACATCATTTTTATTATTGTTTTTTTTGTAATTTTGACTAAAAATTATTTAGTTATAACATAAAAAACAATAACCTTTTCTTTTAAATTTATCCTTTGACTATTATTTTTTTTGCGATGTTTCTAAAGTTTTTTTTTTTTTTTTTTCTTGTAATTTAAATGATAGCAGACCTTGAATCTAAATAAAAAAAAGCGTCCGGGACATTCACCTATAACCAGTTCATCATTTTATTACATCAATCATCTCTTGATATTCATCCTTCTACCCACTTTTGCTCTTGAAAATAAAATTTATAATATACATAATATTATACATAAAAAAATATCTCAGGAAAATCATTTTTTTTGTAATATTTTCAAGTTTTTCGATGCTTATAATTTTTTTTTTTTTTTTGAAAAATATATTATTTTTTTTTTAATAACAAAAAATGATGACAAATATTTTTAAAAATTTTAAATTATTAATTAATGTAAATTAATTGATAATAAATAATTGATTGATTATTAATAAATTCATGATATTACTCAACTTTTACCGAAATGATTTTAATTATTAAATAATTGCCTTGGAAAATTTTAAAGGTCACATTTGAAGAAAAAAAACGATTTAAAGAACAAAAAACAAATAATATATTTGGAAAATTTTGTATTATTAATAATTTTGACATTAATATGACAATTATTTATAAATTGTTGTTTTCAATTTGAATATTAAATTAAATTTATGGCTTTTAAATTGATTATAGAGTTTGAGATTTTTTGTTCACATTATATGAATATATAGGCTTGATTGTAAATGATAGACTATGTAGATATTGTAAATAGAGTTTGCTTAATTTCTAATTGAAAAGGTCTGTAACACTCTATCGATTAATCTATATAAACCGCAAGTAGTCGTTAATGTGCTGTCGTTTATATATTATACAGAAAACTTGTTTTCCATTTAGACGACTTTTATTTTTTTTCATATTTTTTTTTTACGATTTACATATTTAATTGTTATTTATTTATTCTTCAGTTAAAGAAATACCAAGGTTTGAAATACTTTTTCTTTTTTTTTTTTTTTTTTAATGTAGTTTTTCTCTTTAGAATTATATATTTTTTGTTTTATTATACAATTTTTGGGAAATAAAATATTTGGAAAAAAATATAAGTTAAGAATTGTAAAAATAGTTTTTAATGATGTAAATGAAATTGTTTCTATTTTTTGTTTTTTTTTTCAGTGTGTACTACTTGGCGTGAGAACAATTCATGTCATGTTACGTTACGCTATTCATCTCTATGACACAAGAGGTGCTGGCACATCATCTCCACGTTCCTGGGACAAAAGAGGACCCTTGGCTTATTATACGGAACTTGCTTCAGAATTAACTGTTCTGGCAGTTGAATTTCTCCATCATATTCATATGCTTTTGTGGAGTAACATCTTTCTTAGTATGGCGTCTCTTGTTATTTGCATGCAACTTCGATATCTCTTTTATGAAATTCAACGGAGAATCACAAAACATCGAAATTATCTCGCTGTTCTCAGTCACATGGAGCAAAAGTCAGTTTACAAAAAAATATTTTCCCTTTTCTTTTTCCAAAGAATTTTTTAGTATTTTTTTTTTACTATTCAGTATTTTTACTATAATTTTAGTATAATAATAATAATAATAATTTTTTTTGATGAAAAACTAGTTATCCAATGGCAACGCAGGAGGAACTCGCGGAAAATTCGGACAATTGCGCTGTTTGTTGGGAAAAAATGGAAACGGCAAGAAAATTACCATGTGGACATTTATTTCATAATTCGTGTCTACAATCGTGGTTGGAACAAGACACATCGTGTCCAACGTGTCGTCTTGCATTGAGTATGCAGGCAAATCATCGTGAAAATAATCAAGAAATACCACAAGAATCACAAACACCAGCGCGAAGGAATGACAATCATTTTTTTCATTTCGATGGCTCACGTTATGTTTCATGGTTGCCAAGTTTTTCCGTTGAAGTCACGCACAATCGTTTGCGTGGCGATTTTCTCACCATGGCGCACAGTAATTCACAATTGGACGCAATGGCACGACAGGTTTGAGAAAAAAAATTTCAATTAATTTTTTTGCCACAATTTCATTTTGTTCTTTATTTTATAAATGTTTGTTTAATTTAATTTTATTAAATTTCTGTTTGTTTTTTTTAGGTACAACAATTGTTTCCGCATTATTTGCGAAATGTTGTGATTGAAGATTTACGAGTGACAAGATCGGTGGAATTGACAATTGAAAATATTCTCGATGGAAGATTAACATTGCCACATCATGTTATTGAGGAGCCGGAAACGGAAACTCAAACTCAATCCATTGGCAATATTTTGCCAAGTAATGAAACGCAAACTTCGTGGGATCCACATCTTGATATTCCCAATGTTGACAGGTAACTTTGGAGTAAATGAAAATATTTTTACTATTTTTTTTATTACTTTTAGGCATTTCATTTAAAGAATAATTATTTCTAATAAAATTTTTGAAAAAGAAAATTATAATTAGGTCAAATTTAATTAATTTAATGAATGTAATAAATAAAAAGAAAGAATTATTTAATAAATGTAATTATTTTTTACAGCAGCGAGGAGCAAATAAATTTGGGTGGTCGTTTCTCAAAATCGCCAATTGAGAGGGAAAGAATTTTAAAACGTCGAAAAGAACATCTTTTATTATCGGCACGTCGAAAATATTTCGAAAAATTATGCAATAAAATTGAAACAGATCTCGCTGATACAGAATCACCTTCGTCATCATCATCATCATCAATTTCCTGTCCAATGCCATCGTCATCAAGAAATACACACGAAATTAAATCATAGGCGTTTCCAAATCAGTCCAGCAAGAAAAAAAAAATCACTTTTTCTCAACTCAGGACTCGCATCTCAGGAGAGATTGTAAGAGAAACTTCTTCGTCTCCATATTAAATGTATTGAATGAATCGCATTTTATTAAGCGATTCAAATAACCCTCCAAAAAAAAAAAAAATAAGAAAGAAAGAAAACGGAAACTAGAATTTTAATTTTCGTAGTTCTCGCGTTAAATTGTGGAGAATATGGAAGTGAAGGATAAGAAAGAAAAATTTAGCAATTGAGAAATGGGGGGAAAAAAAAAATGATGAATGGAAAAAATCGATAAAGGGAAAAAAAGGTGAAAAAATGGGCGAAAATGAGAAAATAAATTTATTTGGGAATAAAAAGAAAAGAAAAAAGGTGAAAGGATAAAAAGTTTGAAAAAGAGAAAATAAGGCGAAGATAAGAAAGAAAAAGAAAGAAAAGGCGAGAAATTTTTTCGTGAGGAAAAAAGAAAAAGAAAAGACGAGTGATGGAGGGGAAAAAAAAAAGTTTAGAAAAAGAAAAGGATAGGGGGGGAAAAAAAGCAAGAAAGGAGAAAAAGAAGATTAAGAGAAGAAAAAGAAGCGGAAAAATGGTAAGACAAAAGATAATAAAGAAAGAAAGAAAAGAAAAAAGTTTTAACAAAAGAAACATAATAAATAAATAAAAAAATTTATCTATTATTTCACAGAAGGAAAATATTAAATAATTAATATTTATTCTAATTATTATACAAAAAAAAATTGAATTTTACAAAAAAAATTAAAAAATATTCGTTTTTTTTTAATTTTTTAAATAGAAAAAAAATCTTAGTTGTAAAATAATATATTATTCTATTTTGAATTAGAATAAAAATAATATATTATTTTTTTTGGAATTATAAAAAATTACAAAAATTTTTTATATAAATTCCTTTATTATTTTCTATATATAAATTTTTATATAGAATAGAATTTTATTAATTTAAAAATTGTTTTACATCTTCAAATGCGATTATATAAATTTATATATAAATTTTTGTAAATTTTTTTTTTCAATTCTAAAAATTTATAGACTTCTATAAATTTAAGTTTTCTTTGTTTAATTTCTAAAAATTTATAGACTTGTATAAATTTTTATAATTTAATTCTATGGAATTTCAATTTTCATTTAAAGAAAATAATAAATAAAAGCTGAAAAGAAGGAAAAGTAAATATAAAATAAATGTCTGAAAAGGTAATTAAATTAAAGAACGAAGAAAATAAAAAGAAGGAAAAAAGAGGAAAAATCGGATAATGACCAGAATTTGAAGGAGAGTTTTTTTTTTTTTTTAGTCTAAAAGAGTGGAAAAAGTCGATGAAAGCGTGTTTTAAATGAAAAAAAAAATAGAGGGAAATTCGAAAGTCTTTGAATTTAAAGCACTTTTTATTATTATTTTTTTTTATTGACTAGTTTACAGAATTTTTTTTTTTATATATATAAATGTTTTCTTTTTCTATAAAACCTCTTAATTTAGATAGAGGTGGATTTGAAAAAGTAGAGCGAGATTCTTTTTTTTTCTCCGATTACATTTTTTTTTTTTTTTAGGCTGAGTACTTGAAACAATGTGAAAAAATAGAATAGTAAAAAAAAATAAATTAGAATATTCCTTGTACTATAGTTAATGCCACACGAGAAAATTGAAACTTAATTTAAAAATACCAGGGTTTTGAATTTTTCTAGAAAAAAATTATTATTTTTTTTTTTAAATTTTTTAAAAGTAAATATTTTCGTAAAAATAGTAAAAGAGAATTTTTTTTCAAGGAAAGAACACGGAAAAAATAATTTACCTGAAACAGCGAAACGTTTCACTGTAGTAGGAAAAATTTTACTTGTCTCAATTAAATCATTCGCTATTCTAGTGTTATCTTTTTCTGTTTCAGGTAAATATTTTTTCCCTGAATGTAAAAAATATTTTTTTTTTATCTAAATAAAACAATTTTTTTATTTTCTTGAAAAAAGAATTAATAAAACAATAAAATAATAATTATAAAAGAAAAAAAATAATTTCTTTTAACATTTTTTGAAAAATAGAAAAAATTTTGGATTTTAATTTTCAAAAGAAAGAACTGTAAAAAAAGGGTTGTCTTTAATTTTTCTTTAAGAAAATATTTAGCATTATCTCTAAATAATCTGTTGCTTTTTTCGCAGACTTTAAATTAATTTCCATTATGTTTTTTTTTTGTCTATATATTATAAATACATATATATATAGTTGATAATTAAAACGCCTTTTGAATTTTTCTCGCTTTTGCTTTTTTTTTTGTGATAATAATTGACTTTTTTATATATAAATAAATAGTAATAGGTATTATAAAAAAATACACCTCTATAATGCGCATACATTCGTATAATGTACATTTGTACGTATGATATTCATACAATTTTGAAAGAGAGAAAAAGAGAGAGAGAGAGAGAAAGAGAGAAAGAAAAAGAGAGAAAAATAAAAAAATTTACTCACTAATTTAAGATCAAGGAAAGAAAAAAAAAACTGATATAGAAAATGACAAAATTCATTTTCGCGACAAAAAGGCGTAATTTTAATTGCGCCTTTTGTTATAGTATTAATAGAATTATTTATTTTTTAGTAATCTAAGTGAAAATATCGTTCACAGAGTCTAATGGAGTTGTGAAAATAGCAACTATCCGCGTATGGCGATTTGCCAAAAAAAAAAAAAAATCCCAAAAATCCTCGAAAAAAGGATAAAAAATTTAATAGAAAACTTTTAGAGAAAAAAAAAACAAAACAAAACGATCGACTGGATCATTTTTGTGGGAAATATAATTTCGAACTTACAAAAATTTTCATTGTTTTTTTTTTTTTTTTAAATAGAAAAGATTTTGATTTTCTAAAAATCGTATTAAAAAAAAAAATTTTTTTTTTTATCTTTTCAAAGTAAAATTTCGCAATTTTTCTTTTGCCTAAAGAAAATTAAAAAATATATTTTTTTTCAAACAAATAATTTTTATTTGCTAAATATTTTGTTTTATTTAAAGTTTATCAATTTTGTAAAAATGAGATGTTTTTTTTTTTTAATTTTGAAATTTGAAAAGGAAAAATCTTACAGAAATGTGATAGTTATAATATTGTGTGGAGACAAAAAAAAAAGAGTAATTTTGTCCCCATTTTTTCTGTACTTTCAATCATTTTTGATGTAATTTTTTTTTTTTTTTTTTGATTTTAATACTTTGAAAAAAAAAATACATGTACACCATTATAAATAAATATAGGATATCAAAATACCCTCCACGAGATCCTTGTAAATACACTCACACAAACACAAAAAAAAAAAAAAACACAGTTAAGAAATCTTATTACGTATACATTTCAGCCAATAATCTGTCATTTCATTAGGATTGTAATGAGAAGTGTATATCATAAATAAAAATATGCTATAGATTGTTGTAGATATTTTGTCCTTTGGTTCATTAATTTAAAAATAATTCCTTTATTTTTAAAAAATCAAAAGGAAATTAGTGAAAAAATTTTTTCAATTTGGTAAATAGAAAAAAAAATGTTAATATTTATTAAATTTATTATTTAAATTACTTTATTCGATTTATTATTTATTAATTTATAAATAAAATAAATAAATATTAAATAAACATAAATGCCTAAATAAAAATAATTAAATTATTTAAAATTAATTAATAAAAAAAATTAAATAAAATAAAAAATTAAATTAGTTAATTTAAACAAAAAGGAATATAATTTAATTTTTTTTAATTAAATATTAAAAAAGAATGTTATCGTTTTTACTTACCCCTTTTAAATAAAATAGAAAATTAAATTAGTTAATTTAATTGTTAATTATTATTTAAAAGGGGTAAGTAAAAACGATAACATTCTTTTTTAATATTTAATTAAATTTTAATTCTGACTCCAGATACTATTTCTCCATCGTATGGGTATTTTTGTTTTTGTTTATTCGATTTTTGACGATTGTGAGAATGACTGACTGATAATTGTTTTCATCGTTTTTATTTGGTAACTTGTATTTTGTTTTATTAATTTATTTATTGTATTCATGTTATTTTTATTTTTATTTATTTTCTAATTTTTTTTCTTCTATATAATAATTAATTTTATTTATTGATTTATATTTTGTTAATTGTTCATGTATAATTTTGTATTTTATTTTATGTATTTTTATTTTTATTTATTTATTTAATATTCTGACTGCCTTTTGTATTTTTGTTTTTTGATAATCTTCGTCTCTTATTAATTTAATTTCTTTGTATTTTTGTTTGTTGTTTTTAATTTTTAATAATTTTTATAATTTTGTATTGCTAGACTCCCTGAAGAGGAAATCGGTGTGATTTCGAAACGTTGGAGAAAACTTAATTAAAATCCATTTGTCCGAATGTTATCGTTTTTACTTACCCTTTTAAATATATTCTCTCGGACGTTAAAGAATTATTAATTATTATTATTATTATTTAAATATTAAATTAATATTTGTAGGAAAATTTTGGTTTTTGAAAAATAGAAGTCACAAATTATTTTCTAAAAATATTTAATACATATACATATATATATAGAAAAAAAGCCATTTGCGATAAAATAATTTTCTTATCCGATAAAATTCATAACAACCAGATGAAGAATAATGTGTGCAAATATAAAATCGGCAAATCCTCTTTCGGCACTGATTCCATAAAATTGTGATTTATTTTGTGGATTTACTTGAAGCCTAAGGCACACTGAAATTAAAATTTTTTTTCATTATTTCAACAAATAAAAATTTATTTAAAAATATTACCAATATTTAATACTAATTAATTTTTTCCCCCAAATTTGAAATTTTCAATTAAAATAAAAAAAAATTTCAATTTAGTAAATAATCCCCTCAAATTAACATAAATTAAAATTTTAAATATATATAACTAAATCGATTTTCAAAACATAACCTCAAAAAAAAAAAAAATTTACCTAATTAAATTAATTTGTAACTCGAAAAATCGTGGAAATATTAAAAATAGAGAAAAAAAAAATTAATAAATTCTATTTTTACTATGTACAGATATTTTATCACGTAATATTTGTATATATGAAAAAATTTTAACCGGTTTCTAGGTTATGGTATATAAAAATTAGAAACTATTAATCCACAAAATTTTAGTAATTAATTTACTCACCGCCTAAAATAAAGCAGGAAATACAGGATATAAATCCACTGAGAAAACTGTTAAAAGGAAAAGTGCCAACGAGACAACAATAAATGAATTGAATGACACCCGTCAAAAATACATAAAACAAATAGGAGTCAATAATTTTTAATTTTTTCGGCGTATTCTTTGTATATTCTTGCCAAAATTTATTAATCACCGCTATCATCGACATTTTAGTAAAATATTTTTTTTAAATTCTCTAATCAATCACCAACAAATACTTTATTTCGTCTCTTCTTTTACAACTCTTTTGATATTGATACAATTGTCAAGAAAATTCGTGGAATTGACGCGTGGCAAGACAAATCAGGGCCGTCAAATTAATTGTCAAATAAAAATTACAATCGATGAAAAATAATTTTTATTTATAAACTAAAATCATTGTTTCGTTTTAAATTAAACAATTTTCGATAAATATTTATAAATTTTTTCTTTTATTTAACAAAATTTGAATTCTTCATTAAAAAAGGTGAAATAAAAAATATCTACGTTCCTGGCTAACGAGTCCCACTCAAAACTTAGTTACATTAACCGCCGCCAGGTGCGCAATTCGTGACAGTTTTTACTCGTGTATAGTTTTTTTTTCTCATTGTGTGTTTTTTTTTCTGCTCCTATATAGCCGGGGCGCATAAATTCGCGTCTTTAACCGCCACCGGCGGCTGCTGCAATTGTTTTTGTTACGTATACACATATATATATATATATCGATAGTGCAGCCTCGAGGTGAATCTTCGAGAGAAAATTTAAAAAAACGAACAAAGTGTATTAGTGTATGTGTGTGTGTGTGTGAAAAAATCGCGAACAAGTTTTCGACATTGATTTGGAATTTGGCCTTGTAAAAGAAGTAATGAACCGTGGATTGTGATTTTAAAGGAAATAATCATGCAGAGAAGTGGTAAGTTTTTTTCTATTAAAAAAAAAAAAAATATTGGGGCATTTTTTCTTCTCGTGTTTATTGGGAGGGGGGAGAATTGCGCGCCTTTTTCGGAGGGTTTTTTTTCGTAACAACGCCAACGAATTTATTCGCGTTTTCTTCGTTTTTATGAGACACCTGACATATCAGGTCGTCGACCATTTTGGAGGGCGCCAAATTTTCCGTCAATAAAAGCGGCGCTAGCGCCCATCCATAGTGGCATCACCCGGTCAATACGAAACAATAATGCGAGACCTAACCTAACACAAACATTGCATCAATTTAGCCAGCACTTAAATTTTAATTTTAAAAGTGAGATTAGGATGATGAGGTTTATTTCCCTTTGCCATTGTTGACAAGAGGGACACGGGTCATTGACCTAATTATTTTGTTTAGACATACAAATAATTGCGACTCGTGTGTCATTTTCGCTCTTTTTTTTTTTTGAGGTTAGATTTTTGAAATATGAATGTTTTTCAATCAATTTTCGAAAATGATACAATATTAAAAATAAGTTTCTATAGGAAATTTCTTTAAATGTGATAATAATATTAATAATTTTGAAATTCAAATTTAATTGGCAAATAATTTTTTTCTTTTTTTCTAAACACACAAAATATTCATTACACGTGAATTTTGTTTTGAAATTCTTTATTAAAAATAATGTGAATTGTAAAATATTGTCTTTTTTGTATACATAGCGGCATTGAACTCGATTCAGGATGATTCACAAGATTCGAATACAGGTACGCATACAAAAAAAAGCAACCTTTATAGAAATCACGACATATTACGTGAATCATTTCCTTTTCTTTTTATTTACATTGAAATACATTCGTAACTCTAGAGAATCATTAATTATTATTATTTTTTTCTTTCAATTTTCTGTTTTAAGAAAATAAAAAGTAGTTTTATCGTAGGTTTGCTTGACATTTAATTTATTGTTGCTAGTAATTAGAAAATTTTAGTGTTCATCTATAATTTGTTTAGTAAATTCTGTTACTAGTTTAATTTATATTTTGTTATTTAATTTAAAATAAATTAGCCAAAAAAATTTATTGTTATACAATTACTTATATTTATAATTGTAAATATTTTATAATAATTATATATTAATATTAATTTTATTAGTAATTAAATATTAATATTATTAGTAATTAAATATTAATTTTATTAGTAATTAAATATTAATTTTATTAGTAATTAAATATTAATTAAAATTATTATAATTCTATAAAAAAATTAAAAAATATTGCAATTAAAATTAAAATCTTCAATTAAAAACTTTGTTAAATTCGCAAAATTAAGTAACAAAATAATATTTCGTCATTCAATGATGATTTTTTTTTTTACTAGAATTAAATTATGGGGGAAAAAAATTGATTACGAGTTAAAAAGAAGCTGATGGATGACTCAGAATCATTCTTGAAGCATTCGTATATTTAAATACGTTTTTACTCCCCGAAGTTATTTTTTTCATTTTCTTCTTTTTTTTTTTTAAACCGTCATCGAACGAAAGTTAAATAAACGAGTTTTGTTTGCTTTATTCGTCTACAATCTCCTTATCTGTGTTCGATTCTATCGTCTTTATGATATTTCGAATCACAAAAGTATAAAAATGATGAAAGTGAAATAATTTTTAAAATTGATTTAAAAAAAAATAATTTCTACTTTTATTTTTTCCGGCCCCCCTCCAAAAAAAAGAGTTAAATTTTTTTTTCAATTATTTTAATTATTGAATTTTTTTTTAAATTTTATCCAATTGAATTAATGAATGTTAATTTTCGGTTTTTAATTTTTAAATTACAATTTTAATTATAATTTTAATTATTTAATAATAATTTTAATTCTAATTTTAATTATTTATTATTAATTTTAATGATAATTTCAATTATAAATATATAATTATAATTTTAATTATTTAATAATAATTTTAATTATAATTTAAGGAGAATAATAAAAATATTCCCTTATAATTAAAAAAAAAATTCTTTTTTTTTTAATATATTTACCAAGTTAAAAGATTTTATTATATAAAGTTACTGGAACGAACATGGTACATGGATAGTGAAACAAGATCTCTTTAGAGTCTATTGTCATATTTTATATTTGTACAAAATGAAAAAAAAAAATATATGCTGTTACAGTGGTTTTGTTCCAAAAAATGTGGCTTTTGTTTTAGAATTATTATTCAGTGACACAATTCCAGAAAACTTATATCACAATGAATTTTTAATTTACTGAATTTTAAGATACGAAATATTTTTTATTTGGCAGAATTTTTATTTTAAAAAATTTTTCATTACACATTTTTTTTTTTATTTAAAGTAATTCTTATTTAACCAAATTACAACATTTATGAAAAATTAAAAAATTTTGAAAATTATTCAATTATTATTATTATTATTATTTTATTATTATTATTATTATATTTTTATTATTATTATTATTATTATCATTTTTATTATTATTTTTATTTTTAAATTAAATATTGAAAATATTTCAAAATACGTTTTTTTTACTGAGAAATATTGAAAAAATTATTATTCAAAAAGAAATTTTTTGCTGAATTGTACAAATCTAGCAATTTTGAAAAATAATAACTTTTTGAATATTTTTGAGTAAAAAAACGTATTTTTGAATTTTAAAATTGAATTATTTTGAAAATATTTTATTTTTCGTTAATGTTTTTTTTTGTGCTGGACTAACACAATTCAGCATAAATTTTGTTTTTGAAAAATAATACTTTTTTAATATTTCTATTAGAAAAATATTTTTTTGAATTTTTAAATTGAATTTATTTTTTGAAAAATTTTAATTTTTCGTGTTATAATAATTTTCTTTTTGTCTTTTGAACACAATTAAGCACAAAATTCGGTTTTGAATAATAATAATAATTTTTTTATTTAATAATAAATTCAAAAAAAAATAAAATAATAAATAAATAAAAAAATAAAATACAAATAAATAAATAAAATAAATTAATAAATAAAATAATTTTTTATTATTCGGAGACAAAAAATGTTTTCTAAATTTTCAAATTGAATATTCAAAATTTTTAATTATTTAAATTTACACTAAAGTGGCATTTTTGAGATTAAATTTTTTTTTTCGAAATTCGAGTCATTATTATTTTTTTAATTTTTACAGAACAAATTGTCACAAAAATTATTAGTTTTTTTTTTGAAAAATAAAATGTTGCTAATTTTTTGCCCGCAAATTTTGTAAAAAATTTATTTAAAAATATTAATTCAAAAAATTAAAATTCGCCAAAAAAAAAAATTTCCATTAATATTCGTTTTAAATAAATTTTATTTTTCAAATTAATATTAAAATTACTATTAAAAATTTATTGAAAAAAAAGAAATTCTCTAAAATGCTAATTCAAAAATAGAAAATTCGTCAAAAAAAATCATATCTAATAAAATTCTTTAAAATGAAAATTCTAATTAATTATTTTTCTAAAATAATGCGCCCGGATTTTTGAAAAAAAAAACTTCGAAAATATTGACAAAAAGTTTAAAAAAAAAAAAAAAAAAAAATTTCCCACACTTATTGATAGAGAAATTTTTAATGGAGAAAAAAAAATCTGAAGAGGAGAGAAATTTAAAATACGATTTTTGTGGTCCAGATCGGGCGTGCACACAGCATTCCGGAGCAAAAGAGATGAAGAAGCCAGAGGGATAAGGTCACCACTATATATGTATATATATATATATATGTGGTCGTTTTGGCGTCGCGTTGCTTTAAACATTATAATTGTAATGCACTTGAAGACGAAGACAGCGAGAAAATAAAAGGGTACAAAAGAGAATAAGAGAGAAAGAGAGAGAGAGAAGAAAAAAAAACCGAGATGGATAAATATCTAGGTGCGCACTTCTGTTAAAACATGAGAAGCATCAATGTTTATATACACACACATACATATATCCTCCCACACGATGAAACTGAAATACAGCAACATATATTCACAGATTGAAATATTTTATCAATGTGTGAGAAAGCATTTTACATATATATATATATATATACATAAGGACAAGCAAAAGTGTATTCTCAAGTACCGAGGAGGCTTTAGTGCAGCTTCTGGATTCGACACGTGAGCCTCGAAGTCGAATTCAATTTTTCGCGATTCGTGATCGATTATTTATTTATTTATTTATTTTCATTTTCTTTTTCCATTAATCGATTTTTCCTCTTTCGTGAAAAAAAGGGAAATTAAGAAAAAAAAACCCAATTCGACATGGAATAGTGAAAAAAAAAAATTTTTTTTCCACATTTTATCGAAATTTATTTATTTATTTTTTTTATTTGAAATATTAATTTTTTTCCGAAATAAATTTTCGAAAACAATGGAATCAGCTGCTGTTATCT